CTCAAAGAACGCAGCTGCAAAATTGACTCTTTCGGTCGCTTGTTGGCCAACGAGTGCAGTAGGCGCTTTCGTGAATAGCTACCTTCAGGCAGGGTCTTGTGATCGTTACAACTGGCGACCTCGTTAACAGCACAAAGTAGATGGCGGTGAAATATAGAAATGTCAGGCGACAAGTTTTCCTACAAAATATCGAATAACTAATTAAATTAAAACATGCAATAAAATAGTTATAGAAAAAATCAGCGGTTATGGAAAATATTAGATGTTTTACCTGACTGCCAAGAGAGAGGTCAAACTGTACAATCTTCGCAAAACATTCCAGCATAAGGTAAAGCTGGAAGAACAGCTTGTTTAAATTTTGGCACAACTCGTGCTCCTAAATGCATATATTAGAGAAAGTCATCACGGATGAAGTCGAGGATCAGGGGCACTATCAAATAATAGCATATCAACTGAGTCATGTCAAAACTAATAACGTAATGAATCTATTTTAATCATAACAGTGAATTTTGATCTTGAACGAGTTAATCGCCTTTTAAACTCGGCGGCTTACGAACCTACGTTCTTGACACTTAAATAATATTTTATGAAACTGAAATATAAAAATTTAATTATACACGACAAAATAAGGCATACATTTCGAAGAACAGCATTTATAGTACACAAGATCCGTAATAGCCACTATGATTTATTAGCTATCGAATTCCTAACCGATCATAGCTTAATCAGAAAAAAACAAAAACATCATTTTGTCATTTTTGAAAGCGAGAAGATAACTATAATTAAATCATCAATATCAGCATTTTTTGCGTCGCTGAAACATTTCTCCAAGATTCTGCCATAAACTTCTGTTGTCTGCCACTTTCATCCATCTTGATCCAGTAGAATTTTACCGCTTACCATGTCATCCATCTGGATGTTTTTCTATGGGCTGAGAGTTCTCTCCTGGAACCCACTCTACTGCCTGTCTGGTCAGTTGCTGTTGCAATATACCCTATCCACTGTTACTTCAATTTCTGTATTCAGGTAATGACATCGTAGACTCCTGTTTCTGGTCTTACACATTCACTGGCCGTCCAATCTTTTCTTGTTATTCCCAAGAGACATCTTTCCATGACGCGGTGCGTATTCTGCAGCTCCTCATTAGCTTTCAAGCTCAGGGTCCACGTTTCGCAACCACAGGTTGGCACAAGAGTACAAACTGGTCGAATACCTTCCGTTTCAAGCACAAGGGCAGTTTCCCGGATAGTTTCTTTTCAGTCATCCAAAAGTGTTCTATGCCATTTTTATTCTTCTGTTGATTTCATAGAGAATATTCTCCGCTGAACACATGAGTCGACGAAAGTAGCATCACAGTTTTGCATTTATTCAAGCCTAAATCCATGGACTTCACCAGATCTTGTAATCATGTATCTACATGACCAGAAATTTAATGAGGTTCATTGTCAGTCGGATTTTTATATTAGCGCAGTTCAGTTTTTGGTACTTTTTTAAAGTTCTTGTGATGCTTCAGAGAAGTTCAGAATGTCATCTGCAAACAGCAAGCAGCTTAAGTACTGCTAATTTATTTTCAGACCCCAATCTTCCTAAAGGCTGCTGTGATATTGCATCACCCGGTCGAACGCCATTTTTTATTTTGAGCTGGCTCATGCTTTCATGATGCGTAACAGTTAAATGTACAAAGACAAATTCCCAGTAGACAGATAATGCATATACAAACACGCAACAACGAAACAGACCAAGTTTTACTATATTCAGTTAATTGAACGGAACGCACCTGTTCGATCGTCGAATGCTCCATTATGTTTTCGAACACTTTCAGCCGCAGCGATGATTTAACATTGTTCAGCAGCTATAAAATAACAAATCATCTACAAGAATGAATATCGACAAAAGTGCTACTGGACCTTAATCGTTTGTTCCCGTTTTTCTAGAAATGCCTCGTAATGTTCTTTCAATTCTAGTAGATAATATTTCTGTCGCAATGCATTTTCGGTAGGCTCATACTGCAAAAGCGAAAAGTCAAAAATCAGGATACTGTGACTCAGGCGGACTGAGCATCGTACAAAACACTTAGCTACATCAGAAAAATGTTCATTAAAAGTCAAAACAGCCATTAGAAACTTAACGGAAAAATAAAGATTGATCAAACTACCTCTGAAATGACAATATCTTAAAATAGATTAGATCATAAGCAGAACTGCGCTTAATTATAGACTGCACATCAATAACGATGGTAAATATGCAGATAAAAGAAAAGTCTACCACTGTTCAACACAACAAAATAACATACTAAAATATCAGCAACGAAGACGAACGGAAATTCTGGAAGTCGCAGCAAATTATCGCTGGCATCGAGGAGAGCGTTGGCGATATTGGTAAACGAATCAGTCATTGACAAAAAGTGACAAGCGTCTCGCACCAGGCTATACATCTTGCTGCCTGTCTCCTGAACAACTAAGTGAAAGTATGGTGATACAACTGTCGAACTTTCCGAAATACACCCTTCATAGCAGTGGGATGCGATTACTCACCCGGATTAGCTGACTGAACACCAGCTGCGCTCGTGCCAAAGGCGAATAATCGTCATCAGACAAGATCTGCGAGATGGTCGTCATCCACGTATCTTCGATTTGACCCGTAGAATGATGTGAGCATTCAAGGCTGAACAAGTTCCATCGATTCGAAGTGACAGATAGGCGTCCAGAGTCATCGCCATTACCGCCATCTACATTGCTACCCCTAAAAAGACCCTTCTAGCTAATCTATAACGTAAATTTTAGGCCATCATATAATAATATCGCTGACATTGTTTATAAAAAAATTTAATTCCGAGGATTATATTATGCCTCACAGCCGTTCTACGTGTTATACGACAAATACGTTAAATATTGTTTCCTCTGTGGTGAATGACAGGCATCAACCAAAGCAACAAACAATAACCGACACCGCTTGACAACGTAAAGCATGGTAGTAGCTAAAACTTGAAATGAAGAACCAGACTGTCGCTTACCAAAGCAGCGGTAACGGAGAACTGTAAAAGTTATCGCACATTTTGCAGTCAGTCTATCAAATGAAAATGTTCTGATCAATCGTGAAAGATTGGGACCCACGTTCCAAACTTCCTCCAGTAAAGCATCATGTGTGGTTTGTACATTATGAGTCGTTAACTCTTGCACAAGAAATGGTGTTGATTGAATGCCGAACTGGATAGTTGACTAACTGATCGATCGACTTGCTGGTTAACCAACTCAGTGACTGACTGAATGAATGAATGAACGAACGAATGAGATACAACTGATGACAAATTGAACAACTAATTGAAAAACTGAGGCGAACGGTTAGGCTGACCTAGACACCGACTGACTAATTAATTAATCGACTGACTGGCACAGAGAATGAACTGATTGAAAGTCTGATAGGCTAAGTGAGAGACTATCAAAGAGACTGACGATGATACTGATCAGCTGATCATCTGACAAACTGAATGCAGACATTTCCAGAATGAGAAGCTCCCGTCCATGTCAGAGAGCATTTTCGATGACTAAATAATGAGCTTATTTTCTCACTATTTATGAAAAATTAATAGGGATATACAAATGGCAATGGTATGGAAGTCCAAGACGAGTCCTAAGATTTTAAACGTGCATCTGAAAGAGTGCTCTAAAAAAGCTGGACGTCGCTGAAAGACTTCCCTTACCCACTGGTATTTGCATTCATCCCCAAATGAAACTAATGCTTTAAGGCTACTATCTGATGACTTTCGCCCATTAGAATAATTTCACACCGACAGACATAATCCAAATAAATTCCAGTTTATGCTTACGTTTCAACGTTGTCCAATTCTTCGTTGCTCAACGTTGGCGAAAATATGTTTTCCAATTCCGGAGTTGAGCAGACATCTGCTGTTTCTTCCAAGAGGCTCATGTTACTTTCCTGAACAGTTAAAATTAATCCAACATCACATTTAAAACAACTGAAATCGGTGGGAAAATATGTTAATTCGAAAGAATACTGACATGGATAGGCAAAAATCAAAATATGGTTACGAAATCACGGTTACACCTTGTGCTAATCATTGCACTGAATATTCAGCTAACAGTGGGACAAGGCGAAGAGCAGCCACAAGAGGAACTCGATCAGACAGCAGAGCCGTACATCACATCCATTCTCGTACGACCACAACAGAACACTATGCTGTCCTCATAATTACAAGTCACGGCCGCTTCTAACCTGTTTCTCAAAAGGATGCGCCGAAGCAACGTGGGAGCAATTCCCTACTCAAGGGAATTCACAATTAAGACAAAAAATATCCTTAAGCGCATTTCAACTCAGCCCCTCTGGAGCTCAGAGCACCTATGCCATTGTGCAACCACGCTTCAACGAGGAATCAGACGCTCTCCGGATGAGGTATTACATACTGACTGCAGGTGAAGGCATAAAAGAGGTACAATCTATCTGACCTTGCATACCATAATATGGATTCAAATTAGACGTAGGGCAAATGTTTCAATTTAACAACTATGACGAAAAAGTTCTTGTGTAAACAGTTAGAACGTTATCGCACCTTCGGTGGGCAATTTCATAGTTTATTTATCCGCTGGATGAAGCCTGGAGAAATAAATAAACTTCAGCAGGCACCGACACTTTTGAAAACTGATCGATCCTATCATCAGAACACTTTTAAATTAAAACAACCAACTGAAGTTAATTTTTGCCTTGCCATCGTCATTTAAGGCTAACAAAGTTTAAACAACAGACCAGTTGAAGTTTATTAAGACTGGCCAAATCTAGCAAAGCAATATTCATATCCGGAAGCAGGTCTTTACTTTCAATTAATCAAAATTTTATTTATTCTTTTTGACCGTTGGTTAGTAAATAAGAAACGCGGATGTGAAAGCATCAAACAAAGCATGAGTACTTCGTCCGAGATGTCCGACTCGCTGCTAGCATGCGAGGAACTGTTCAGCCCGGAAAGGTCGCACTGCAGATTCGCGGTAGCGGTCACAGCTTCGGACGTGTCCTCATCGGCGGCGTTGCATATCGCCACCGGACGCAGAGTCGACAGCCAGTGGAAACAACTTTCGGCTGACTCTGACTAAAAGGTTGATCAGCAAAATCAGTATATAATGTGTGAGCGTATGTATACAATGTGTTATGTGTGTACGATGCTAAACTAAAAAACGAGCATACGACCGAGTCCTGTTCGCATTCGAGAAAGTCGAACTCCTTAAACACAGGCGGGAACTTCTCTGAACCAGTCTCGTTGCCGCAGATCAGATCGGGAGAAGGGTTCGAAGCATGGTCGACTGAATTCGCAAGCTCCGCGTTGCTGGAGTAAGCAGAAGAGGGCTGTTCAAAGCCAGCTTCATGGCTTGACTGAGAGAAAATGATCTGGGATAGACAACGAATTAGTAGCAAACCTGGCGGCAAGCAGATATTAAATGAGCATACCGACGGAGTTTTCAAAAGTCCTATGTGTAAACCGCTTGTATTCAAAAGGTTGACCAAGTGTTCTCTAACTTTTACCTAAACACAAACATGGAATTTGCATTATCTGGTATCAGGCCACACTTCAAGAACTAAAAGTCAGAAATACATAAAATCGTCATATCTGCAGTCCAAGTCTGACTTAAACTTAGAAGTGTTGTACTGAAGTTCACCAAAGAAAAAATAGCTGGAATTATGAATTGATTAAGAAAACACCGATGTGAGAAAGTCACCAAAAGAAAACGCAGAAGTGATCTACAGCTGTTGTTGATCAAGTCAGGATAGCGAAATCGGTGGAGTTCGGTTCAAATCCTGACTTACGTGTTATCATTCTAACGTAGACAAACGATCATGGTTAAGTGGTTCGAAAAAAGACAATAGAAATCTTTTTCAAACAATAAAGCACTTATGGTTAGCACTATCATTTTTAGCGACCTGTGGTAAACTCCGTGAAAGAAGGATGCCATAAAAAGCACTCTTCTTGGAAGTAAGAGAGTTCGATAATCCTAAAACAAAACTTTCCTGCAGTTTTTATGACTGCCTATAAGGAAACGTTGCAATCCTTCAAGTTTTAAAAAGTACGAAACTTGCTGTTTAAAGGGTTTTTGTTATACAACACATGTATATCCGATTAAAGTTTTCCTAATATTCTTCCTAAATCCATATACTGCCGAGTATTTCGTAAAAGTTGTTGTTAAGTAGGAAGAAGCTTTTGATTTCGGCAGACCAGAAAAAATTTCTCCCATTATTTTTTTGGTGGCCTGGTCCACTAAGATACAGACTACTGAACTTTAGAACATAACCCATAGTATTTCACTCCTTCGCTCATCCAATCCCGTATTTGAGTTAAGTAAATGTGAGTCGCCCGAATGGAAGGTCAGCTTAAAATACCGGTGGCAAATCATACCTGACTAGCGGCTAACCGTCTGATGGTTGAACTTTCAGATCCAATCATAGTTTTCGACAAATTGCTCGAGTCATATTCAACAGGAGATGGTTGCAAAGGAGAATGAAAAAGAAACGACAAATCCAGTTCAAATTCCATGGTTCTTCCTGTCATCAAACATCACAATAAAACGCAAAAAACAACCGATCTATTACATACCGGGAAGGCCTTTTCTGACCACATCTTCGTCGTCTTCTACTCTCTCAGAAGAGGCACACGGGAG